TTATTTATTTATTTGACAGAGAGAGATCATAGGTAGAGAGAGAGAGAGAGAGAGGAAGCAGGTTCCCCACTGAGCAGAGAGCCCGATGCGGGGCTCGATCCCAGGACGCCGGGATCACGACCTGAGCCGAAAGCAGAGGCTTTAACCCCCTGAGCCACCCAGGCGCCCCACCAAATGAGTTTAAAGGTACAAAAGGACTATCTTTTAGAACACAATTAAGAACAAAGTTGAAAATAAAAATATAGAGCTTATTAATAAGACAATTGAAGAGGTAATTAAAAAACTGTCAAAATATGACAAATAGATCACAAAGTGTCAAATAAAGAAAAAGTCCTTTTTAAGCGATTAAATCCACTGGATAAAGGAAAAAAACATTTGCTATAAAAAGAGTTCCACTAAATTGTGGTTCCCAGGTATGAACAAAGCAATGGTGAAAAATCAGTGGAAGATGTCTGTTTTTGAGGAAAACAATAAAGACATATTTAAAGGATATGAATTCTAGCTATGGCTCTCTCAGTAAGTAGCTATGGATTTCATACAAAAATATCTGTGAGGCCCTATCTTATGTGTAAAATAAGAAAGATAAGCCACACAACTGGTAAGTTCAGTCTAGCTCTAAAGTTACATGAAAAAAAACAAACAACAAACACCTCAATGCAGCCTTACTCAAGGTAACTACAACTTGCAGTCAGCGCACTGAAATAACAATGAGCCCTCCTCCCCCATTCAGAAATAGGGAAATAAGTCTGTACTTTGAGAGTTGAATGTTATAATAAATATAATAGATCAGAGAAGAGAGATATGCATTTCCAGAATAGTGCTAACCCTCTTTTAAAAAATTTTTCTTCTTGGGGCACCTGGGTAGTGCAGTCAATTAAGCACCAGACTCTTGGTTTCAGCTAGTGTGGTGGTCTCCGGGTTGTGAGACTGAGCCCTGCCACTGGCTCTGGCCTAAGACTCTCTCTGCCCCTCCCCACCGTGTACGTGTGCCTGTGTTGCTCTCTTTCTAAAGAAAATAAATACATCTTTAAAAATTTTTTTTCTTCTCTTATGCAGACTGTTAAAAAAATCAAACTGCAGTATCAGATATTTAGTCCAGCCACAATCTAAAGTTGGCTGTGTTCTTTTTTTTTTAAATTTTTCATTTTTTATTCACATACAATGTATTATTAGCCCTAGGGGTACAGGTCTGTGAATCGTCAGGCTTACACACTTCATAGCACTCAACATAGCACATATCCTCCCCAATGTCCATAACCCAACCCCTCTCTCCCTACTCCCCTTCCCCCGACAACCCTCAGTTTGTTTTGTGAGATTAAGAGTCTCTTATGGTTTGTCTCCCTCCCGATCCCATCTTGTTTCATTTTTTCCTTCCCCACCCCCCAAACTCTCCACGTTGCCTCTCAAATTCCTCATATCAGGGAGATCATATGATAACTGTCTTTCTCTGATTGACTTATTTCGCTCAGCACAATACCCTCTAGTTCCATCCACATAGTTGCAAATGGCAAGATTTCATTTCTTTTGATGGCTGCATAGTGTTCATTGTATATATATACGACCTCTTCTTTATCCATTCATCTGTTGATGGACATCTAGGTTCTTTCCATAGTTTGGCTATTGTGGACATTGCTGCTATAAACATTCAGGTGCACGTGCCCCTTCAGATCCCTATCTTTGTATCTTTAGGGTAAATACCCAGTAATGTGGTATTTGGAGGAAGGTGGAAGAACCTCCATACTGTTTTCCAGAGTGGTTGCACCAGCTTGCATTCCCACCAACAGTGTAGGAGGATTCCCCCTTCTCCGCATCCTCACTAGCATCTGTCGTTTCCTGACTTGTTAATGTTAGCCATTTTGACTGGTATGAGGTATCTCATTGTGGTTTTGATTTGTATTTCCCTGATTAAAGCTGGCTGTATTCTTGAAATAAATTTGGCTGAAAACATTTCTTTGGAGTATTTCATAATTTCTTCGAGGATTTCATGAACTTTTCTGGTAATATTTTTAAATAATTGCCCACAAGCAATTAAAATTATTATTATTTTTTTATTGGGAGGCTAAACATATAGTTAAGGAGGTATTTTAATTGCCTGAAATAATAAGGCAAACTGTTAATCTAATACCTTCCCTATATCATATCAAAGAATCACTCCCCCTTGTCACTAACTCAAATAATTAAAATGTTTTACTAAGTCTCTTTTCCATTTAGTTTATTAATTTTTATTCACTAATATTTGATACTCTGAGTTTTCATATTACACTAAACTTCTATCACTCTGAAGTCATAAAAAAGGAGAAAAAGAATGCTTAATATAATGAGGAAAAACTCCATTTAATGAAGACTAAATTAAATTAGATTGAATAGTTATATTACTTAAAAAGAATAAAATTTCAGGGGTGCCTGGGTGGCTCAGTGGGTTAAAGCCCCTGCCTTCAGCTCAGGTCATGATCCCAGGGTCTGCTCTGCGGAGAGCCTGCTTCCTCCTCTCTCTCTCTGCCTGCCTCTCTGCCTACTTGTGATCTCTGTCAAGTAAATAAATAAAATCTTTTAAAAAAAAAAGAATAAAATTTCATGAATAAGAGGCCAAAACTTCTATTCCTTATGTGAGCTAAATTATTACTTGGGATCATTTTCTAACAAACTTATAACAACAGCAGGAAAGATGAAATTTAAATTACAGAATCAAAAGAACTTTTAGTGTTTCAAAAAAACACCAAAGTTTATATATTTCTTTACTAAATAATGTTTATCAGCTTGTCTCATTACACTGTATACATACTCATACTGTTTTTTTTAAGACTTTATTTTTTAAGTAATCTCTATGTCCACTGTAGGGCTCAAACTCACAAACCCAAGATCAAGAGTCACATGCTCCACTGACTGAGCCAGCCAGATGCCCCCACATTCACATACTTGTAAAAGTAAGCTTTTATTTTTCTTTTTAAGATTTTACCTATTTAGCTGAGAGAGAGGGAGAGAAAGAGAGAGAGAGAAAACACAAGCAGAGTCTAGGGATAGAGGGAGAAAAAGAGAGACTGAAGCAGATTCCCTGCCAAGCAGGGAGCTAAATGCGGGGCTTGATCACAGCACCTAGAGATCATGACCAGAGCTGAAGGCAGATGCTTAACTGCTTAACCGAATGAGCCACCCAGGCACCCCCAAATGCAAGTTTTTATACAGTTACTCTGTTACCTGATTTACTTTGTTCTGGCACAAGAGATACCCCAATCCCTACCCTTCTTCTCTATCCTCTTATAACCAAAATTCTAAAAGGATCTTCAGTATGTCTAAAGCAGAACCAGCAGATAACAGATACAAGGGCACATTTCTGTTGTTTATATATTTATATATCAGAAGTTTGTGACTTGGTGGCTTATAGGCTGTAAACAGCCCACAGAATGTGTTGCTGTTTGGCTCACATAATACTTGTAAAAAGTCTTGAGTTTTTTGCCAACACTAAACATTTGGGAGGATATGCATAAAAATCCATAATCTTGAAATACTGGTAGATCCTGGAATGTCGGGCCCACATGTCTACATGACAACAACTGGCTGGAGTTGAGTAATGACTGTTATATTTAAATTCAGGCATAACTTTCCTATTTGCCACAGACCCAACTCTTCTGTGTTATTTGCCTGGCTTTTATAGGTATTGGAGTTTGAAACCTCACGTGCATGTGTCTATGAAGATATATAAATATGTGTATGTGTAGATATATATATCTAGACATATACATATGTCTTTTTGATTCTATGATCCAGTGAGATATGTATAAAAACAAATACATCTATAAATTTAATAAATATAGATATAATAAAGTGCATGTATATATAATGGCATGCACATACATATACACAGAGTAAAAATATTTACAATGATATATGCATAAATGGCCATTCGAGAGCAATATAGTATAAATACTTATAAAAACTGAATTAACTGAAGACAGTTTAAAAACATTACCTCTAAATGTTTAATATTTATTGCTATAGGAAACGTAATGCCTAATTCACTACATTTAAAAACCAGAGAGCAGAGGCTTAGAAATCTGCACTACATAAAGCACTTGGATTAGATCATAGATCATACATCTCCTAGTCCACTCCTTGAATGACAGATAGCCAAAATTTTATTTTAAGCAAATTTACTGAAAATAAAACCTCCTATAGTCTACCAGACTTAATTTTTGAGTAATTAACAAAGCATTAGAGGAAATTTCTATAACTTGATAGTTAAGGAGCTTAAAGATAATTTACGTACAACCAGTGAAAATTATTACTGAATTAGATATGACAAAATAATCAAGTAATGAAAAATTAAAAAGTGATTATTAGTGAATATAATGCCATGTGGGACCCTCTGCTATTTTACAAAATACAAATAGATTATAAAAATAAAAATTATAAAATATATTATAAATATAAATAAAATATAATAAAGTATTAAGATATACATGTCACAGAATTTTGAAGTCATAAAAATTCTCACACACATGACCATATTTAATCTTCAAAAATCTCTACAATTTAGGGACACCTGGTGACTCAGATGGTTGAGCGTCCAACTCTTTATTTCAGCTCAGGTCATGATCTCATGACCTGATGATGGGATTGAGCCCTGAGTTGGCCTCCGTGCTTTGCCAGAGATTCTTTCCCTGCTCCCTTGGCCCCTCCTCTTCTTGCATGCACACGAGTGTCCTCTCTCTAATAAATAAATCAAATCTTTTTTTTTTTTTAAAGATTTTATTTATTTATTTATTTGACAGGTAGAGATCACAAGTAGGCAGAGAGGCAGGCAGAGAGAGAGAAAGAGGAGGAAGCAGGCTCCCTGCTAAGCAGAGAGCCCAATGCGGGGCTTGATCCAAGGACCCTGAGATCATGACTCGAGCTGAAGGCAGAGGCTTTAACCCACTGAGCCACCCAGGCACCCCTAAATAAATAAAATCTTAAAAAAAAAAAAACCCTAGGAATTAAATACTATCTCATTTTTACAGATAACCCTGAAGCTAAGGAAGCTGCTCCAATATTAAGAGATCAGGGAGGTAAGAAAAATCAGCAAAGGGACTGAAAAAGGGCAAAGGCAGGAAGACAAGACAACCAGGTAGGTATGGTATCCTAGAAGTCAAGTGGAAACAGGGTTTCAGGGAGAGGGAGCGTTCCACTCTATCAAATAAACCTAATAGGTTAGATGAGGCCTAAGTACTGAACACTGAATTAAGCAATGTGGAAGTCATTTGTGGTCATGATAAGAGCAATTTTGAAGAATCCATGGAGGTGAAAATCTGACTGGATTGAGTCCAGGAGTAATTTGGAGGAGAAAAATCAGAGAACTAGAACAGAAAACTTCCCACGAGTTCTTCTCTAAAGGGAAGGGAAGAAAGGGAGAGGTGAATCAAGGAAGAAGTGAGCCCAGAAGAGGGTTTTTGTTTATTTAGTTCTCTCATGATGGAAGGAGTAGGAGCATGTTAGTGGGCTGATGAGAAGAACCCAGGGGAGAAGGAAACATAGATGATGCCAAAAAGAGAACTCTTGGAATCACACTCCTAAGAAGGTGAGAGGGGTGGGTTCTGAGGCATAAGTTTGGGAACTGAGTTTGTCAGAGCCACTAGCAGTTCATAGGAGGGAAGGTCGAGTATGTGAGCACAGACACAGGAAGGATGGTGCATGTGGTGGCAAATTCTTATAATATTTTCTTCCGGTGCCTTCTATTTTCACAGGGAAATGGGAGAAAGGTCATCAGCTGAGAATAAGGATGGAGACAGAGTTGGAGGTAAGTTATCAGGACCATAAAAGACCATCTTAATGCCTCAAATTTAAAGGGCTGATATTTTCTCCAACCACATTCAGATATAAAAGTATAGGTGCCGGGAAGTCAAGAGTTGGATTAATCAGAATGATGGTTTTCCCAAGTGAGAGAGAGAGGCAAAGGGGATAAAGGTGAATGCAAGGATTATGACAATGAAATGTTGACAAACTACCAGCAAGTTTAGGAGAAAAGAGAGGACATGAAAGGCGAGAGGGACAGTAGAAAGTCTTCAGATAAATGGACTAGAGTTCAAAGAATTGTTGGAGTTAGAGTGTGAAAGGGGGTAGACCAAAAGAAAAGAGGTAGTGAATAGATGGATGTTTGGAATTTAGTTCATGGAGACATGGCAGTTACTGGTAATAATTAATGGTAGTTATTGGCCAAGAGATTAAACAGAAGGGAGTGACTAACTTAGGAAACACCTAACAAAGACTCTGGCCCTCAACACATGCTGACCCTTTCACACTTCTTACTCCTTACTTTCTAATGCTATGATCATATTGCTTCTCTTTAATCAATCATTATGAGTGTCACAGGTTTACCATTTGTCTAACAATTTAACTCCTAGGTATATACCCAAGATGAGTGAAAACATTTATTCATACAAAAACTTATGTATGAGTGTTTCTCAGCAGCATTATTCATAATACCCAAAATATGGAAACAACTCAAATGTCTATCAATGGAAGAATGGATAAACAAAATATGTTATATTGAAAGAATGGAGTATCATTTGACTATAAAAAGGAAGGACTAATACATGTTAGAACATGAATGAACCCGGAAATATTGTGCTAGGTGAAAGAAGTCTAACACAAAAGGCAGCATATTTTAAAAAGGCAGCATATTATATGATATGATTTATATGTAGCAATTGGACTAGGTAAATCCATCGAGACAGAAAGTAGACTAATGGTTGTCAGAGGCTAAGGGGAGACAGGGAATGGGGAATGATAGATGATGGTACAAAGACTCTCTGTTGGGGTCATGAAAAATTTGTTGTGGAATTTAATAGTGGTGATGGTTGTACAACTTTGGGAATATTGTAAAACCACTGAGTTGTATACTTTAAAAAGGGGATTTTTTTTTTTTTTAAAGATTTTATTTATTTATTTGACAGACAGAGAGGCAGGCAGAGAGAGAGGGGGGGAAGAAGGCTCCCTGCTGAGCAGAGAGCCTGATATGGGGCTCAATCCCAGGACCCTGGGATCATGACCTGAGTCAAAGGCAGAGGCTTTAAACCACTGAGCCACCCAGGTGCCCCTAAAAAAGGGGATTTTTATGGCCTGTGAATTACATCTTTAAAAAAATCCCCATATAGCTCTGCATTTTGATCTGGCAATTAAAAAGTTTAGTGTTAGCTCAGTCTCACCTTAGCAATGCAAGCTGGACAAAACCAGTCCCCATCTGGTATAGTGGTAATTTTGGGTCTGTGGCAGTATGTGTGACAGCCTTTGTCACAGCCGTCACAAAGGAGAAGCAGTTCTTCATTATCTCCCTTTCGACAGATCTGGCAGTACTATAATATATGAGAAATCATTTAAAATTAGCTCGCTGCTCTGAAGAATAGTTATTGGGATATTAAACACACCGTAATTCCTAATTTATATTAGTAACAAACATTCCGCTTGCTAACAAATATACAGTAGCCATACACATCTATGTATCTCTCATTACACAGATATGGACCACATGACGGGGTGAGCAGTTCAATTGGGGAAAATGCACATTTCAGGTAGACTGCAAAGAACAAAGCTAGAGGTTGAATGCCTGCACACACTTCAGAAGCATGTACACATTAACATATGAAATCATTAACGTGACATTAGAGCACATAAAGCAATGAGTAGCTTTAATACATGGTGTTTTAATTTTTTAAGGTATTTCATCTTTTGCTTATCTTAGCATCCTCATGATATCCTGAGAAAGAAATAAGTAAGAGTTAGAGTAATTTTTAAGATCAAAATTAGGAAACTTGTATTAGTATCAAAATTATATATAATAGTAAAAAGATGACACTATATTTTGGCTAAATTATCCATCCACTTTTTGAGATTGATTTAAAAAAAATGTCCAAACCAAAAAAACTTTGGAATTCAACCTAAATCAACTAAGTGTCACAAGTGCAGAAAATGAATCCTACAAAATGATTTCTAAGGAGAAAAAAACTGGTAATAATAAATTAAATCAAAGAATTTAATTAGTCATAACTTATTTTGTAGAACTAAAAATAAAATTATTTCTTCTCTGTGAAAAAGTTTCTAATACCATTAAGAACTTTAAAATCTTAATGATTCCCCTCCCCCCATGCATACATACTCTGCACAATCAGTTTCACGAAAGGAAAGAAGCAAAGTTAGAAAAGAAAAACTTTCAAGAAAGCTTTAAAAAAATGGTTGATACTAACCCTGTGTTGACATTTAGCTTATACTGCCACAGTAGAAAATGACTTGTAATCAATATTTTGAAAAAGCAAAACATTTAAACTGTAAACCACTTACACTAATTGAAAGGTATATATTTATACACTTAAAAACAAAATAGCTTAACTTTTCAAACTTAATTGTTAAAACTTTCAATACAACATTAAATCTTAATCTGGGAAAGTCTAAAATAGTCTTATATAACTCAATATGTACATCAATGGCAGCTTAAAAATCTTATCAAAATGGTAGATACACACTATTCATCTTAAGTATCTTATCAAGTATATGTAATATACATAATACTAAAACTGTCATGTGTACTAAGAGCAAAAGCAGCAGAGTCTGCCATTCTAACAGTAAGTATTTTCTGATCCTTCCTAATACCACATCACTAAGTACTTTAACATGGTATTATTTCTCCAAATTTAAGTTATATCTTTAAAACTTCTATTGTAAAAATATTGAGAAATAACATTTAGAAGGTTATAATCCCTATGACAATAAAAGTTAAAATTAGTTTCATGAACAGTAAGTAAATTCTACTTTTTATAACAGATAACTAGAAATACTATAAAGTCTCTCTGACATCTCACATTTATGATTTAAAAGTAAAATTCTTTTCTGATACTTATTAAAAAAGGGTGACAGGTATCAAGCTTATAGCATTTTCAAAGAGTCACAGCGATAGCTCGTAACATGTTAGAGCAAGTGTAGAGCATAAGACAGTGGATGTTGCCTATGTTTAACATTAACAACAATATAAAGCACACTGTGGGCAGAGAATTATCGGGAGGCAAATTAAGACAGCTCTTTCTTTCCATGATAAGACTGGTCTCTGGCAAAGAGGGTATTTCTAAAGGCACTGAATACTTTAACATTCTGTTAGGACTTGTTATGAGGATTATTTTAGGCACAATTACATTTCTAGTTAAAGGTTAAAAAGTGCTCATTAATCTTTGATTATGAAACTATGACTTCTTTTCAAGATAGTTTCATAGCAAATAATGTACTATTAAGTATTAAAAAATGAAAATTGTAAGAGATGGAGTTAAATAGTGATAAATGTATATTAATAACATGAAAAAGACATGAATTTGTCAGAAATGAAATAAAGTTTTTGATTGCAGAAAGCAAGAATAGTAATATAAAGGCAGATTTTGGAACAAATTTTGGGTTTCTATATACAGGTTATAACAAAACTGACCCTGTCATGACGACTATTTTGGTGTATATGAGAACAAGAACTGTTCCAATTTCATTTTGATATAGAATTCTGTATCTTATGATCATTACAGTCTAGTAATATCACCAAGTATATTTCTCCAAGGGGACCTTAAAACTGGTTTTAATCATAACTTTTAGAAGAAAAATTCTTTTTACCTGGTAAAAATGCTACCAGATGAACAGAACATACCTTCAATCTTATGGTAAATTGTAATGTGGATTGGAAAAGACCTAAATTTGAGCAGACTGTGAAAAGTGCATGTTCATTATTCCATAGATATTTTATATGAAGAAGGGAAAAACCACAGAAGAAATCAAATTTATTTGTAAGAATGAGTAAGGCGTTGAGTAGTCTAAACTTAGAGGTAAAAATAAAGCAAAGAATGTTAAAAATATTTAAGGATCACTTCTTTTCTTTGGGGAATGACTATTTTAAGGAAAGGAATTTTGCTCTTAGTCATTCATAAAAACAAATCTCAAATGTTTGGATTTTACAGCTAATCTGTAACTCAAAAGCAAATGTCAAAGTAATTCATAAAGGTTCACATATAATAAATATTTCTCTATCTGATATACAAGAGGCAAGAGGGACATGAACATGATTTAAAATGAGCATCTCTCTGGAAGATACATGCACTATAGCTTTTATTTTGAATACATAGTATTTGGTGCCTCGTACAAGGTAAAGGTACCTTCTACCTTTATATACACGATGATAACCACTTGAGCTTAAGCAAAGAAGGTGAAAAACCAGTTTTAATTGTTAGAATTAAAAAAACAAACCTATTCTTCATGTCAGCTACTTCTGATGACATGCATGATTATCAAGTACACAAGCTAAGAGCTCTCTGCTTATTTTGTATTTACTCATCTAAGTATTTCTTAGCATTAAAAAAAAAAGAAATCTGAAAGAAATATAAAGACATTCTAAGAACGCAGTGAATGTCCGTAGCAGATAATGTTAGCAACTGAATGTTTACAGGAGCAAAAGAGTCTTCAAAATATTTAGGTGAACAACTATTATGTTAACAGAATATAGAAAACAACTTCAGTCAGAGTTATAAACAATATTCCATGGAATGAGAATCAGGACTTTTAAAAAGAAGAGATAATATATTTGGTAGTTCCCTTCAAAAAGCTCAAAATAAGGAGAAAAATATCAAACTGAAACAGTATTTAAGAATTAAACTGTCAAGCAAAGCATACATTATTTTGACAACAAGTAATGTATTAATTAAGAAAGATTTAGAGGTTGGGAAAAACAGGACAGAGTAAATTAGTTATAGTATTTCTTAAATGAAAACACTTACAACT